ACACAGGAGACCCCTAGAACTTACAGAGGTTAGGTGGCAGGCTTTGCATCTACAGGCCAAGGCATGGGTGAGGGCTTATTAAATGATACCTAGGTATTTAAGGGGCCAACTGATCTATTGACTTGGAGCTTTTTGAGTTTGGAAGACAAGTTTTTGGCTTATTTTCTCTTTGGGGAGAACGCTCAAAGACTAAAATGGTAATAGAGCTCATATTGAATGCTTACTCTGTGGCAGGCAGTGAACTGAGTAGTTTTTTTGGATTATCACTTTAGATCCTCACAACAATCCTGTGAGAGGTACTCTCCTTTTTTAAAGTTATTTATTTATTTATTTATTTGACAGAGCACGAGGGTGGGGAGGGGCAGAGGGGCAAGAAGCAGACTCCCTTCCGAGTAGGGAGCCTGACAACAGGGCTTAATCCGAAGACCCCTGAAGCTGGGGTCATGACCTGAGCTGAAGGCAGATGCTTAACTGACTAAACCACCCAGGCACCCTGAGATAGGTAATCTTCTTAGCCTCTGCCTTACAAATGGGAGACTGAAGTATAGAGGCCTTAAATTTAGTGAGTAACCTACCTGGGATTCAAACCTTGGGAGTCTGACCTTCAACCCTTGCTGTTAACCACTGTGTCCTACTACCTTGTGCCAGTGGGTAAGTTCTTACTCTGGGACATTCTGCATGGGGATTAGACCATACACATGGTCGCTTGGGGGTCGCATTTGGGATAGTGAGAGCATGTCATGTTGCTTTGACTTTTTCATGGACCATGTCTTCATATCCTGTAACAAATCACTACTGTTGTGGCTTAAAACAACACAAAATTATTAGCTAGTTCTGGTGGTTAGAAGTCTGAAAATGGGTCTTGTGGGCTAAAATTGAGGTATTTACAGGGCTGTATTCCTTCTGGAGGCTGCAGGGGAGAATCTGGTCCCGGCCTCTTCCAGCTTCTAGAGACTTCCACATTCCTTGCCTTATGTCCTTGCATTCACATGGTTCCAGTCTTTGCTTCCATCATCACAGTTCCTTCTTGGACTCTCCTGCCTCTCTCTCATAAAAAGCTCCTCATGATTACATTGGCCCTGCCTGGATAATGTACCAAAATCTCCTATTTTCTAAAGCCTTAACTTAGTCACAGTTGCAGTCACTTTGCTATGTAAAGTAGTATGTTCACAAGTTCTGTAGACTTTATAGTCTTTTAATTTATGGGTTGATTATAGAGATTGCCGTTTCAGGCTTTCTTATTTTCAGTTTTGAGTAATAACTGATGAAACTTTACTTCCCATCATCCCAGCCTGAGCCATTGCTGAGCTCCAGCTGTTTGACCAATGAGTGTCATTATCCTGGACACCGTCACATAAGTAATTGGGGGTATAATGTATTAGGAAGTTCTGCAGAGAGGTATAAAGTAAAAGGTGGTGGCTTTTAAACATCTTAATGGAGTGTAAAAATGAGTTGAATTCTATGATAATTTTTCATATGATTTAGCTACTTTTTAATTTCAAAATTGATACCTCTTTTACGTGGTTATAATCCTAGTAAATATATTTTCCTATGCCAGTTTTCCTTAGGATTCTATTTTAGTGTATCTACAACTCTTGTCTCTCCACAGGGTTAATAATGGTAAGCTTAGCCAACATTTGCTGAGCCTCTGCCATAGGCATCATGCAGAGCCCTTCAAAGCGTTTTTTTTCATTTAATTTTCACATAAGTCTCATGAGGTAGATATTATTCTCTTTTTTTGTAGATGAGAAAGTGGAAAACTCTGGAAAGTATTTTAAAATCATATAACACAGTTAAGTATGGAAGTGAGATTTGAATCTGGGACTGTCCCAATTCTAAAGGCTTGCCCCTGCTCTTCTGTACCCACTGCCTTCCCAGGGCAACTAAAGTTGGCTCAGTGATTGTCTGCCTTCAACTCATGTTGTGATCCCAGGGTCCTGGGATTGAGTCCCTGCAGGGAATCTACTTCTCCCTCTGCCTGTGTCTCTGCCTCTGTGTGTCTCATGAATAAATAAATAATATCTTAAAAAAGTAATATGAAACCTTGGTAGGCCTACCATCGGCGTAGTTTACTTGACCTGTAGAAAATGAAGTCCTAAGATTATAGGTTTTAGAGGCATTCTTTAGGTTTGGTTCTGGAAAACAGGGATGGTTCACCTTTGAAGAAGGACTCAAAAATTGTCAAATGAAAATTTCTTTGTTGCTCTACTGGCAGTTTCCAACTGCTAAATCAAGGAATACATTTCCCCATTTCTCCAGAAACAATATTATAATGGGTAGGTAGCTACGATAGCACATCTCTAGTCCCCTTCCTGAACCCCACTGGTCCCTGTAAGTGGGAATGGGAAGACAGGATAACAAAACCACAACAATGCTTGTGACAAGGGTCAGGAGTCTTGGAGTTTACTCCTAGCCCTGCCATTTTGTGTAAGTAATTTGACTTACTCATCTATAAAATGAATGGATTGGGCAAGATCATTTCCAAGGTTCCTTAAAGCTCTGCTGTCATATAATTGGGATTTTTTGATTCCTGGGTCAGAGTCTGGGCAGGGATTTGGGTGGCAGAGTAGTTAGTGTAGGTGGTCAAGCACTTCATACTTAACCACATTTCCATAGTTGCATGATTTAATCACCAGCTCAAACTGAATAACCAGAAGTGGTGGTGCACTCCCACAAAAATTTTTGGTACTCTTTATAGAAAAGCATTTTCATTTTTATAATATAGGTCATCATAAAAATCTATTTCATAAGACTTGTGCCATTTTGACATCAGTCTGTCATCCTTTAAGTACTTCATTACTTTCTGGTGCAAAAAGATGTTCCAGCTTATCTTGTAATTTCCTTGTCCCATCCATGGAGTCAGCCAGTCCCCTGAGTACTGATTCCTTTGAGAGTGTGCTCTTGCAAAATGGGGTGCTATTACTTCTCCCTCTTTTGAAGGAAGAGCTAGGAAGTATGTTTTTTTTTTTTTTAATTTGTTAATACCCCTAATTCTGGTTCACCACCATAGGGCTCTTTGTCTCCTTCCAACGTGTTAGGCTGGTATGGTCCTTCTCCCTCAGCTTATGATTCCCAGCAACATCAGCATATTTGTTGCTCAATGCTACAATATATATAAAACAGGTTCAACTCAAAAATTGTCAAATGAAAATTTGTTTTTTTCTGAGCTTTACTACTACCAACAACAAACCTACCACTTCTTTGCAATTCTTTTTATCTTAGAATCTGTCATACTGGAGATATACATCCATGTACTCTCCAAGAGTTACTCTCTGTTGGGTTAACGCCGTATTTCTCCTCCCTCCCTCCCTGCTTCCTCTTTCCCTCCTTCCTTTCTATAGAGTAGATACTCTGAAAGTTTGTTGAGAGGTAGTCTGTGCCCTTCTTCAAACCTGTGTTCACAGTTTTCCTAGGTTAAGCTAATCACCCTCTCTTTGGGGGTCAAGGATAATTGACCCCCAGAACATTAGTTCTGAGCAGAACTATGTATATATAATGTTCTGAGCAGTCATATGTATATATAAATAAAATATATGGTAGGGGCACCTGGTTAAGAGTTGCCTTTGGCTCAGGTCATGATCCCAGGGTCCTTCAATGGAGCCCCACATCAGGCTCCCTGCTCAGAGAGTAATCTGCTTCTTATTCTCTATCTGCCTGCAGCTCCCCCTGCTTGTCCTCTCTCTTTTTCTGTAAAATAAATAAATAAAATCTTAAAAAGTATATATATGATACATAAGTCTGTAATATATAGTTTCACTTAAAAATAATAAATATGTAGTTATTCATCAAACCAAAGTATATAAAACCATTATATAGTAAACTCATTTTATCTCTATATTTATTGCTCGTATATAATTTTAACTTTTATTTATTGCTCATATATCATTTTTAATCCACAGAACCCACAGTCCCTTGTTTTCTGGTCTCAGTTTCTGCCAGTACTTAGGATCATTAGGTCATCAGAAATTGTGGATTTCAGTTTTTCCATTTTAAGAGTTGGGACGCACATAAAAAACGTTTTTTTGTTTTTTTGTTTTTTTTTGGTGGTATCGTCATAAACTGTAAGGTGTATAAATTCTCATTAAGCATTAAAGAAAAAACAGGCTGCTGAAACAACCATTGTGGGCTAGGGCTAGATATTGAAGTCGGAGGCTGGAGAGAGGAAGCACTTTGGGGGAAAGAGTGTTGTTGGACGGAGGCAGAGGTTAATGTATGTTTGAACTGAGGACAATGAAATTTGAGAAGTGTGGACTGAGGAAATTAAATGTTTTAGTACCCAATATAAATGTATAACCTATTCTTTTTGTTAAAACTAATTAATAAGTGATCCTTAAAATAGCTGGTTTTTACTTTAAAAGTATATGTTTTATTCATCCAAATTGACAGAAATATATAATTGTACATGTTCCTTGCAATTATGTCTCAGTGAGCAGAAAATATTGATGTTGGAACAACCATATATTGTTCAATTATAGTTATTCTTTAATAATGTGGTTTTGTCTAATCTTACCAAAGAACAACCATTATATATTAAAGAAAATATTAGTTTGAGGCATTTATACTTTCATTGAAATGATCACTGTACCTTTAAACTTGAATATATATTTGGAAAAAAGCCCAAGAGTCTTAAAATTTTTTGAAGGTATTTTAGAGTATTTTAAAAGGTACCTTTTAAATAAATACCTTTAATGTTTTAAAAAGTAAGACTTTAATAAAAGTATTTTTATTTTACTTTCATTAACTTATATATGCATAGTAAAATATGTGTGTTTTAAATCTTATTACAGTTGAGTTATTCTTCCCATCTTCCTCCTTATTATTTTCTTATGGACCTGTATAAACAAATCTCTAAGCAGGACCTTCTAGAATATCAGCCATTGTAGCACCTTCTATTTGCATAGATTTTCATAGATATAATGAAGCTATGGCAAGGTAGCTCAAGTATTTATCAGTGATAAGCTAAAATCCTTTGGAAGTAACTTTGTGTATTTTTATTACAGGTAAATTGGGATATTCACATTGTACAGAAACAGAGGTAAGAGAAATACTCAAATATTTATTAGTAAAGTAGCTTTACAGTTCTTTAGATTAACTTAAGTATTGAATTGTATCTCATGGGTTTTGGTCTTCTGAAAACGTTGTGTTGAGAGCAGGTATACATCTTTTACATTTAAGAAGAGTAAAATGTGAAAAAATCAGTTATCTTCCCCATATATATGTGTGTGTGTGTGTGTGTGTGTGTGTGTGTATGGTTTTTTTTTTTTTTAGGATTTTATTTTTAAGTAATCTGCACACCCAGTGTGGGGTTCAAACTCCCAACCTTGAGATTAAGAGTTGCATGCCCCACTGAATGAGCCAGCCAGGCCACCCCTCTTGCCCATATTTTTAAAATGCCAGCATGTGTTAAAAAGATTAGCTTAACAATGGCTTTAAAATTTTCTCATGTTATTATGTGTGAAATTGAGATACTAAGATTCAGAGCCCTTAATAAGAAATAGTTCAAGTTCAGTTTTTTTCATAATTTAATGTGTCATAATAAATATATCATTTAGATGTGTTGAGCTCCTCTGGAGCTACCTTGGTGTAGGAAAAAAAAATAGGGGCTTGGAAACAGTATTTCAGTAAGTTCAGTAATGAATTAAATGCTTTGTTATTTGTATAAATAGGTTTAGTACTTTTTAATAATTTAGTTCAAAATTCTGATAGTGAACCTTAAGGAATTTCCACATGATTCTGTATTCCTTGCAGGAGTTTCAAGGGTAGCACTGAGATGCAGTGGTAGCATCCATGACGTATGTACATCTGGTGTTCTTTTCAGATACTGTTGCATCATTTTTACATTAGGAGTCTTGTGTCTTTGTTGATGGCAATGCCTAAATAAAGGATTTAAGAAGTTATTTTTCTAATTTCATAATGTGTCTACATGTTGATGTGGATTTTAGTAAATTTCAACTGTTTTAAGTAAAATGCAAGCTTCCTAAGGGATTGTATTGTGTAATAAAGAAGCAAAAATAATTTTTTTTGCATTCAGAACTTACACAACTTTGTTATTTTCAACTTTGGAAGTAGAGATCATTTTTTTTCCAAAGTAGCTCTAAAAATAAGAAAGAACTTCATTATTTTTAAAGTAGAACTTAATATTTTTATATTGTGAGAATTTTTGGTGTACTGTTCAATGTAATATAAAGGAATGGGATTTGATTTGAGTCAGAAAATATAACTTTTGTCTGGTTTCCGATATGCAACTTTCTAGCTATGTAATTTTGAGCTGTATTTTTCTCCTGCTGTCCTACAACTTTGGCTTTCTTATGTATAAAATGTTAATCATAATTCCTATTGACCTCATGGGTTGTGTGAAATCTTAAAGAGCAGGTATATGTGAAACTGTTATACAAACCCTGAAGACACTGTTTTATACACACACACCCAGACACACATGTATATCAGGATGACTGTGTCTCATTATTCTGTCTTATTATGTTGTAGCATGATAAAATCAGCATTGTTGTAGCATTTTGTTTAGTACTCGCTTTATATAGGAATGCCACTCATTTTCTCTCTGTAATCTCCTAATTAGTAGCCCTTATTCTTTGACCTATGCCTTGGATAACCAAAAGAATTGGAATCTAAACAACTCTCTTTCAGGATATTTTAAAAATAACTATTTGAAGAGAGAAAATCACAAGAATATAGAAAGTTCAATCCTATTACTTAGTTAACAGCTCAGAGTATTTTCTGGGGGTAACAGTGATTATAGTTACCTCTGGTGAAGAGACTGGAATTATGGATGGTGATTTATCTCTTTTGTTTGGACTTCTTTAAAAAATGAGAACGTCTCTGTATTTGTTAATTAAAATAATAAAAAGAGGTAGTAGAGTAAGTGGGAACTACTTTTTCAAGAATTTTGGTGACTTCAGAGAAAGGAGACAGCTTAAGTAGAAAGTTTCGTTTTTTAGGAAAGATGGTACATTTGGCGGGGTGGGGGGTGTTGGTAGTTAGGGAAGCAAGAGAGAGTAAAGTTGGAATCCAAGTTAGAGAGTGGGTAACTGCTGAAATCAGATGTAGGACTTCCTCTGGTTTGACTAGAGTGGTATTTCTCCAAGTGTGGTGGTAGGGCTCTTGGGGATTCCTGAAACCCTTTCAAGGTCAGACTGTTTTTGAAGTAATATTAAGACGTAATCTGCTCTTCTGCTTTCATTCTCTTGAGGGTACAGTGGTATTTTCCTTGGCTACATGACTGTGTAACTATGAATGTCATACCAGACCTCAGAAGCAAATACAAGATCTAGCTGGCTTTTATTAAGCATGACTTTTAAGAGTTTTCCAAAAAATGTAAAACAATACCACCCTTCTTGTTTCTTTTTTTAAATAGAGGGTGTTTTTTTCCCATAAAAGTGTTACTTATATTAACGTGTTTAATATTTTTAAATGATTTAAGTGACTTGATTTAAAAATTTCTCAGTTTAAAATTTTGATACAAGAGATGTTGATAGATTATGACTCACACACATAAAAGCTCCTTGGATTCCTCAATAATTTTTAGCATGTAAAAGGGTCCATAGACCATAATCTGAGATGCAGACCCCAATCCGTATAAGTGTAGAACTGTGAAGGGCCCTGGAACAGGTGGAGTAGCATGTTGTTTACTCCATGCTGTGGTGCAGGCCTATACCAGGGTGCAGGCCTATACCAGGGTGCTGTGGCTGTGTGTGCTTTGGCCTGGACCCCAGCTCTACCCTTCCGTTACTTCTTGGCCTCAAGATTCTTTATCTGAAAGATAGATTGTTGTGAATGCACAGAGTTTAGCATAAAGCCTGGCTTAATGATAGCCTCCTCTTCTTAGTTGGGAGGTATATAGTTTTCTGGGTTGGAGAAAGTCATCTTCTTAAGCAAGATGCCTAGACCATTAGGAACCTCAGGGTGACTGGTAGGGAAAGCAAAAATCCCTTTATCTTTCTGGGCCTTCAGGACCCTCATTAAGACGTATAACTAACTGTTCAGCTGTGTATTTTAATGGTTTTTGTAGTACATAGAAATCATATTATGAATTTTCTAGTTTTACTTTTAATTCTCTTTTTAATACTTTTCCTATATTCAGAAAAACCAAACAAAATTATGAGTTTAGAGAAAGCAAGGGAGGCCATACCTAGGCATTCAATCAACTTTTATGTGATCTGGTACCTCAAGATAGCTTAATGTTTCTAAAATATCAAATATTATACCTTATTTCTCACTGTTTGGGAAAAAAATCTTTTTAAAGATTTATTTGAGAGAGAAAGAAAGAGCATATGAGCATGTGGGAGTGGCAGGGGAGGAGCAGAGGGTGAGAATGCCCAAGCAGACTCCCTGTCGAGCAGTGTCCCCCATGCAGGGCTCCATCTCATGACTTATGAGATCATGACCTGAGCCCAAACCAAGAGTCCCATGCTCAACTGACTGAGCTACCCTACCCAGGTGCCCCTGTTTGGAAATTTTTTTTTGTGTGAAGATTTTATTATTAGTTTTTAATTTTATTTATTTTATTTATTTATGAGGGACACAGAGAAGCAGAGACCTAGGCAGAGGGAGAAGCAGGCTCCATGCAGGAAGCCTGACATGGGATTCAATCCCTGGACCAGGGACCATGCCCTGAGCTGAAGGCAGACATTCAACTGCTGAGCCACCCAGGTGTCCCTGGAAAATTTTTTTAATGTACTCTATTATACCAGTCGTTTCCAGCATTTGAACTCATTAAGGAAAATTTTTCATATAATTTGGTTCAAAAGACAAAAATTTTTACTTTAATAGGCAATTTAATTTTTTCCTACATCTCTTCCATTTTTTGAAAGTATAATTTACATACAGTAAAATTTACCCTTTTCAATTACAGTCTTTCAAATTTTGACAGATACTCAGTTGTGCTAACCGTCTCCATGATCAAGTTCTGTCATTCTCCAAACTCCACGGGTGCCTCTTGGTGGTTACTCCCTTACCCTTCACCCCTCCTTTGGGCCCTGTCTACTAATGATCTGGTCATTTATAAACTCTCAAAAGACCTGTACCTGTGAGTGCACTGACCTGTACCTGTGGGTACTTGTCCGTCAAGGAGACAGTTCTGCTTCACAGAGCTTAGGGGAGCTTTTTACTCTCATTTTACAAGTTTTTCTTACTGCCATTATTTAAATAATTTTAGTTGCACTTTTATATTTGAAGAAAGTTGCAAAGCACTTAAAAATGCCACAACATAAAGGATTTAAATTTTTTTTAAGTATTTTAATTGAAGAATTTTCATTGTAAATTTTTAGATTTCATCACGTTCCTGTTTTCTATTAACCACCACTAATTATGAAGCACTGAGGCCTTTTCCCTTTAGCAGGAAAGGTTAAATGAATAACTAGAACAATCCTGTTCCTGTGGTAGATGAGCTGTGTTTTAAGTGGAATAGATTAAAGCATTATATAAAGTTAAATTAACTTTTGTCAGTACTTTAATCTTGATAAAGCTTGTTTATAAAAATTGTAGCATAGCAGAAAAATGTAATCTTTAATGAGGGAAACTTTCTTCCTCACGTCTTAGGAATAGATTTTACATATACTGAATATAATATGAATTTAATCCTCATAACAAATTTATTTATTTATTTATTATTTTTTTTTAATTTTTTTATGATAGTCACACACACACACACACACACAGAGAGAGAGAGAGGCAGAGACACAGGCAGAGGGAGAAGCAGGCTCCATGCAGGGAGCCCAACTTGGGATTCGATCCCGGGTCTCCAGGATCGCGCCCTGGGCCAAAGGCAAGCGCCAAACCGCTGCGCCACCCAGGGATCCCCTCATAACAAATTTAGAAACAAACTCTAGAAAGAGAAAGAATAGAGAGGTTATGTAACTTGCCCAAGGCCATATAGCCAGCATGTTGCAGAACCACTTCCCTTTACCTTTCATTTGTTTGTCTTTATCCAGTCTTTGTTTATCTGCATTGTAAGGCATCTGCATAGTGCTAAAAATTAGTTTAGTGCCCCACGTGGGGCAGTGAAATGACTGATGTCTC